ATGAGTTCTATCCAGTTTAGCTTTTACAGTCTGCCATTATATTGTAAGTTCATCCTGGACATATTGTTTGATTAACTCGGTCATTTCCCCGTCCTCTAATCTTACTTTTTCAATGCATAATATACATCGTTTTCTCCAAAGAGTCCGAATAACGGCCCTCCTCCCGATCTTGAACATATTCTCTTCAAAAATGTTGTGTGTAGAAGGGAGCCATGTTTCACACAAAAGCGCTCTCCAGTCCCATGGCCATTCAGACTCTATACCCAGTGACCTCCAAATCCTATCCCACTGGCGCCAAGTGAGGATCGCCCCTGGACATTGTAGGAAAATGTGCTCTATGGTCTCAGGGATCTTGCGGGCAGGAAAGACGGTCAGACAGGACATGCACCATGGTGTGGCTAAACCCTTTTGTTCTAAATATGTTCGGTCAATCAGCCCATCGTTTGTGGGGAGGCAACGGTGTTCTATCTGCCATTGCAGGGAGGCCATCTTTGCTGGTCTGGCCTTTGTGGCGGTGAACCATCGGATGGGGCGGAGACAGTCCCTTCCCACATTCAGTCGAGACATCCAGCGCTCCCGCACGGTGCTCCTAAGATCAACCCGAGGCCTGAGAAGCCGGTATGTAACTTTCACAGACAGATCGAGCAGTTTCTTGACTTTCCCAGATCTGATCTTGTCGGACGGGCACCATTGCCATTCCAGCGGGTCGATGGGGAGTTTGGCAAACGGGATTTCCGGGAGGAAAGCTACCCATTCCTCTTGTTCCCCCACTACCCTAATTCTGAACGAGTCCCCCTTCGGCCACCATCTCTTCTCATCGTGTAGATACCTTGCAAGACGATTATCCAATCCTCGGTGGAAGAGGGTCACCCCCACCTCGTCCTCTCGTAGTTCCATCACCCTACCCACATTCTCACTATCCCCCGTCATTGCAATCCAGTCCCCTTTCCGGAGTCTCGGTCCCCTTCGCAAAATGCGCACCCAGTCCAGGGGAATAAAGAATATCAATTGGTCCAGCTTTTGTTCAATGTGGTGACAAGACTTCAGGGTGGACCTCAATTGTTGAGCAGTTTTCCATTGTCTTTCGTCACTATCCCATACGTCCCTAATTCTTGTTACATCTCTTCTCACCCAACAGTTCCAAGGGGGGGTAAGGCTACAATAGACCCTCCCATTTGAGTCAGTAACACACATATTGCCGAAAAACGGTTGTCTCGCTACCTCTTCCCATCTATTTGGTGACCCTTTGTCAGGCAACAGGGGTTGGCGCCATGCGCGCAGGGCCTTGACCTAGAAATCGTCCTTGGTCAAGTCCATTTTGGCCATTCTTCGATCAGACTCCCCGTGGGTCTTAGAGTATCGTGGAATAGTCCAGAACCGGTCCTCTAACCAGGACAGGGGATCCACCTCCTAGGGGGCCTGGGGGACCAATCGTGCAATCTGTTCCAAAGCCATGGCACGCCACGGAGGAGGGGGGTAAATATAAGCCTCTTGATCCATTGTATAGTCAATGCTGTAATCTGTATAGTGGGGTCCAGAATCCCTAGTCCTCCTTTTTCCTTGGGTTGAATAACTGCTGACCATGCCACTTTGTTAATGACATTAGGGAGCCTGCTATCCCCTCTCCATAGTAGCGCGGCCACTTGCCTCTTTAAGGCTCTAACTGCTTCCTCGCTCGAATTGTGTATGAGGTTCTGTTTTATTTTTGTGAAGTGTACCCCGTGGTTAGATGGACCATCCTAGTCGACCGGCACCGAGTCGCGCTTGGGAAAATCAGCCCCCAGAATGTGGGCTCGCGCACGGTTCTGATTAAGGCGTTCGACCGAGCGTAACCCTTATGCTACAGCGTATGAGAAACGCCCTTGGTTGGGCCACGTCTGTGATTGCACACGAGAAGCTTTCACATGTGGTTCGGTAGCTTGGCGGGGATATGGCTGTCAAGGAGTGGTGACAACCCCTTGGCAGAGGTAAGTTGTGCCTCACGTGGCCCCTATCCTGCCGTATGGGTAAGCGAGAGGTGCGGCTGGCGCACTCCGCCGGAGCAGTGAAAGCTCCACTGCGAAGAAGTCCTGCAAAATCCTGCGTGATGCGGTCGGAGGGTCCCCCTGCGAGACCAATGCGCTCGAGAGTGGGTGGGCAGGCAGCACGTGACAATGGCTGGAGGGCTCACGAGAACTGGGTGGGCAGGCAGCAAGCGACATAGGTTGGAGGGCACGGGGGAGGAGGGTGGACAGACAAACACTACTAGGCAGCAAAGCAATAAGAAACAAGCCAGAAAGTGGCAAGGCAAAAAACAACAATAAGGCAGACATAAAGAACAAGTACCGAAAAACAATTGAAAAAAATAAAACTGATGATAGATTGTTTCATTGGAGTTGCACCGACTCGTCAGGAGGCTGAACCCTCAACAATCTGCAGAATCTCCGATGTGATGGTTTGGGTCATGAACCCTTTGACCCATGTTGAAGGCAGACTGTCCCCAAGGGGAACATAGCAGTGGGCAGCAACTCAGAAAAGCACCAAGCAATGCTGCCGAGGCAACACAACCGCTTAGCGCCAAAAACAACTACAAGGAATGACAGGGCAAGCGGACGAGCAGCAAAGCAACCATGCAGTAAAGCACAAGGCAACACCAGCAAGGCAGCCAAACCACACAGCACACAAGCAGAGGACATGGAAGGCAAGGCACGCAGATGGGTAGCAAGGCAGCAGTGCAGCGAAGCACAAAGCAACACCAACAGGTCCAACACCAAGCCACACCACACAGTGAACACTGCAGCTTGCCAAGAATGACACGCGAAGCAAGCGGGACGGACGGCAAGGCAACGGCAGAGTGCAGACGAGGCAGTTGACACATCCAACACGGAGCAAAGCGGCACATCACCTACTCACATCACGGGTGAACCCCACAGACTTTTGGTTCCGACCAACTGCTGAGCCAGGGAGTCACTCTGATGGACGTCCATCATCACCCGTAGACCATATCCATCGCACAGACATCAAGAGCAGAGCGGCTCCCCTAAGAGTCCTGCAGGCACTCCAAACAACGGACCACCTACTATTTGGCACTTCTTAAAGGTGCTCACTCGAACAAGTACTACGAAAAAATAAGAGGAACACTGACATGCAATGAAAACAGCAAGAAAGGTAAACAAACAAAATGAAAGAAAGACAATTTAAGACATAAATAACTGATTTTTTATTTATTTATTTATTTTGTGTGTGTGTGTGTGTGTGTGTGTGTCTGTGCATGGCCAGGCGCACACACACACACAAGAGAGAGAGAGAGAGAGAGAGAGAGAGAGAGAGAGAGAGAGAGAGAGAGAGAGAGAGAGAGAGAGAGAGCCGTTGAGTATGAGAGTGATTTTGAGCAACAGGTTCATGGGTATAACAATAAGTTTGCCAGCACCAGAAAGGAGGACGTGGGACCATGAACAACGCAGGGGAAAAGTAGGTTGCAAAGGAAAGTCGAACAGGTCCTGTGTCGAGATGCAACATGGGTTTTTCATGGGCACACGGGCGATTCCCTTTTTGCTGTTCTTGGCATTCTCAGAAAACAATACACTTCGTCAATCATCAAAAAACAATTGTTTTGAATGTTTTCCGAATTTTCTGTTACCCTTTCAGACCAGGGTTGTGCCGGCAACTGGCCGGCTGCGGGCCGGATCCAACCAGGCCGGTTGGACCCCCGGTGGTCCAAACGGATTCCAGTTGGGCCCAAAAGTGGGTCAAATTTTTTTTATTTTTTATTTTTTTGAAAACATGGTTCGACTGCGCTTGCCGAGATCTCCCCGAATCCACAAAGAAAACTTTGAACAGAGAAGTTTCGTTTGGGGGGTTGGGGGCGGGGGAGGGGGTTATTTCAGGGGTTGGGGGTCNAGATACCGAGCTTGGTGATATCGGATCCAAGACTCGACTTTTTGGGATTCAGACCTGACAACGAGGGGTTATTTGGGATCGGTGACAAAGACTTGGTGTTAACGACACTCCCATCTTCCTCCCTCCTTTCGTCTGATCCTTACCTCTTCGTCTATGCATGTCTGGACCTGACGCTTTCTTCCTGTGTGCAGCGCCAGGCTCCTTCACACCTGGTGAGGGGTACGATGCATGTTTGGTCTGAGTTCAACCATCGGTTGGACTAGCTATCAACATTCTAGCAGTCTGTTTCGCTACTTGCTACTACATGTGGTAGGTCAGTCCTTGTCAGGTCAGTCTTTGTATCTAAGTCTTCCCTGCGCTATTCAGCACTTTTGTATGTATGAGAATGCACATTGTCTGTCGAGATTCTACTCTCACCGCATTGTCCATTTCAGTCCTTTTCGTCACATTGCAGTTCCTCGGTTATTACAAACATCACTCTCGGGGGTTGGGGGGTTTATGGTGGAGGTGTTAATGGCGGGGTTTCTGCAAGCACGGGCTTCAGCAGACATTGACAACAATGTACCTGGCTTTCTGCAAACGTTGACGTTCCGCCCAAAAACTTTGAAAAAGGGGGTGGGGGTGTTAGTGGCAGGGTAGGGATGGCACTTCCCACCCAAAAACTTTCCACGGCCTGCGTGGAGGCCTCCTGGCCCCCCAAAAAAATGGTAAGACCCCGCAGATTGGATGCCCTACAGCCTTTTGGTGCCTGTCGCTGATGTCTGGTCCAAGTTGCCCTCGATACTGGTAGGGTGATGGTCCTGAGTGCTGGTCACACTGAGGTAGGATAGTAGGGATAGGGGGTGCGCTGGGAGTATTAGCGTGGGCAAGGGTAGGGAAGGTGGCCTATCCTGGCATGACAACCACCAGCTGCCACTGCCAGCGATCACCGTGGGTGAAAATTAGGGTCTCCGTTAACCTTCTCTCAGTCCTTGGCCTCTACAACACCCTGGGCTTAAAAAAAAAAAAATAATAATAATAATAAAAAATGATGCGCTACGGCCAACCGGGGGCCACCCATGCTGCCGAGGACTTTGCAAACAGAAGACGGGAACAAGACTGGGGCTGATCAAGCAAGCTACCTCTGTTGTCTGCACTCCAACTGCTTGTGTGCTCTGATGATGGCGCTTTTGCACTTGTGTCCGTAATTCACCTGTGATATCGTCCATTCTGGCAGATGGTAATTCCCTCGCTGGTATAGTCAAGTCGTCAATACGCACCCCAAGGATGCTCCTTAACCATGTTGCTGCCGGATGAATGCCAGACCATCAGCCACAGTTGTCAAAGACCTCAGATCAGTACCTGTCCTGATTGTGATTACTATCAGGAATCTTGTTCACAAAAAGCAGAATCCAAATGTGAGCAACCATCAACATTAGAGCATCAAGCAAGGACACTTGCTTGGAAGAGAAGCGCTCAACCACTAAGACACAAAGAAGAGCAATAAAGCTCAGAGAATGAAATCATAGGGGGCACAGTGGGATCAATGTAGTATAAGCTGGAGGGGGACTGTCTTCCCCTACAAACAAATGCCCTCACCTGTCGCAGTAAATAGAATTCCCTACAGACAGTCCTCTTCTGATCGAACGGCAGGACCAATCAACAGAAATAAACTCAGAGACAGAAAACTTGCTTGGAAGAGAGTGCCGAACCAATCAAAGCACGAACAACAGCAATAAAACTCAGAGAATGAGATTGGAGGGGCCACAGAGCGCACAGTATAGCACAGGCTGTAAAGGGACTGTCTTCCCCTAGTAACCAATGCCATTAACTGTAGCAGAAAATATTATTCCCTGAAGACAGTCCGCTTCTGATCGAATAGCAGGTGGATACGCTCTTGATTTCATTGCCACAGTCTGAAACTGCAGGCTGAGAGGAAAGTTGTAAGCTTCAACCTCAGGTTTCTTTTACTGAGGTAGCAACACAAGAAGACCAGGGGCTGGACATTTGTATGGGCTTACCTAACAGTTAATTCAACCACACAAAATCAATGCTGTTAAGGTTCTCCTGGTTGTAATGAGTGGAACATCTGAGTGGGGTTACCTATGAGTCTGTCTGACTTGCCGGTGGAATCAGAACCAGACTGCCAGCCCCCAGAAGAGTATGGAATTCAAGTTGAACTCCAAGGAAGACAACAAGAACTCAAACGGTGAATCACTGGGTCATTGAGAGGTCAAGAGCTCTTCAAGAGGTTTCCTGTACAGAGTCTACAGACCCATAACTTTTCTTTCACAGAACGGGTAGACGCAGCAATGTGAGGCTCATGCGTGACACTACCCATGGGTTGGCATAGATGCGTGAGCCTCACATTGCTGCGTCAAACAGTTGGCCCAGGCGCAACTGTCAAGGCCTGGGCCAACTGTTTGACGCAGCAATGTGAGGCTCACTCGTCTACCCAACCAACTGGCGTGCTGCGAGAGCCTGAATACCCACATATGGAAATGTCGAATTTTGCCTCTGACGAATATTCAGGCCCGCCTTCACTTAGGGCGGGCACTCGGCTTGCTGGGGGCCTTAGCCCAAGTCATGTGATGTCTGATAGGGCCCCTTGAGGGCTTGTTCCTCGCATATGGCTACAATCTCGCTCTTCAGCCCACTTCGTCTTCGGGCAACCTGCAGACCACCTTCGCACAAGACGCTGTAGCAGCGCTTCCGCATGGCTTACACAGCGAATGAATGAATGACTGGGCGCTGCCTCTTGATTTATACTTCTGTAACTCGTTGGTCTGCCCCCTTTCCCACCAGCCCATGGTGCACACAGTCCCTCATGATACTTGCGCGACTGGGCTGTGACTGACTGGACCAGTACCGCTGACTGCACGGGATTGCACTGCCGGCTCAATGCAATCGCACTGCCGACGCAGTGCTGTTGGGCTCACCACTTGCCCACTTGCCCCCGGCTAAACGTGAGACAACTTGGAAAGGCCACTTCCGGACCTTCTGGAAGTCTGTGGACTTGGCCTTTCGAGGACTGTAGCAGCTACACCCTTGACCTTTCAGAACATCTACAGCTACGACCTCTACAGAGCTTTGACCCCTACTCGACAGACCTACTGATCGAATCCCTACAGCTACGCAGACCTACGACAGACATCAAACAACTGCCAAAATAGAGGTCACGGGTTCAAACACTCGGGGGTCAACTCGATACTGTACATGGGCAAGGTAAGGTCTGGGGATCGAACTCTAGTGCCCGCATCTGTGACTGCAGAAAGGTGAAAACCGTTTCACTCCCGCCGGCCTAAATTCGAGGTCCTCCGAGAATACTTCAGTCTAAGGCAGGACCTTTACCTTTCTTGTCTCTTTCGTATGCTCTAACTATGTCAGGAGCTGTCTCTAAAAGTTCTGTTCGTGTGTACCAGCGGTCATCTTTGGGCTCTTGAACGACAAATCTGACTTTGTATTGTTTCTGTGGATGACCTCTGCCTCCTGTCCTGAAGACATCCTCACCTACTATACCATCAATATCGTATCTTCCATCCATATCTGGAGGAATCATAGATCTGCGTGATGGAAACTGTTGGCTTGTGATGCAAGGCAACAGCTTTGATGCATGGAATACTGGGTAGGTGTGGAGGTGTGCTGGAATCTCAATAGTGTAGGACGACCCATCCTCTCCGCCCTTGACTTCTAAGACTGGCCACGGTCCTCTGTATGCAGGCAATAACTTTTGTGACATGTTCTCCTCAGGAGCGAACTCTTTTGACTTGACCCAGACTAAGTCACCTTCTTGAAACTGTGAGGGGCGACGGTGCTTATTAGCTTGTTCTATCATTCTGTGCTGGGCTTTCCTGAGGTTATCAACAACGGTAGCTATCTCTTTCTCGTGCTGTATCGCAAACTCACGTGTATCGGGCGGTAACCTCTGAATCTGATCCCAGTTAAGTCCTTCAAATGGTCTGCGCGGTCTAAAGGACTTGTGCAATTCGTTGGGGTTGGGGGTGCGACATGTGGCTAGGTGCACACTGTTATTGTACGCACCGGCTACCTTTGGGAGCATCTCATCCCAGTTGATCTGATCAGGTCTAATGTACATTCTAAAAACTTGTTGCAGGAGCTTGTTCATCTGTTCAGTCTGACCGTTAGTCTCAGGATGACGGCCAGATGACATCAATAACTTTGAACCATAAACTCTCATCAGTTCCTGCCAGTTCTGACTGGTGAACCTGGCATCGCTATCACTAACTATCGACAGTGGTATACCATGCTCACTGACCCAATGGTCTGAACAACTAAATTTGTGTGTGCCTCTGCAGACAAAGGAACAAAAACTGCATACTTGCTAAACCTATCAACTATGACCATGACTTCACTTTTGCCATGCCTACTCTTTACCCCAACATCCATAAAGTCAATAGACACAGAATCTCCGGGTCTGTCAGGAATAGGCAAGGGTCTGAGAAGACCAAGAGGGGCTCGCGTAGTAGTCTTATTTCTTTGACAAACTTTGCAACTGTGTACATACTCTATGCAGTCGGCCTTCATTCCGGGCCAGATATACGTGCACATGAGATTGGTTAGTGTCTTTGGCCAACCGAAATGTCCCTCTTGTGTCGTGGCATTCCCCTAATATCAAACTACGGATCTCTTCACTGTCAGGAACGCACAGACGATCAACTACATTAGTCTTCTCAAATGTGATAACCCGTCCAAACATGGACTGAAACACACAACTGATTTCTGAGTTTTGCTCATAGACTGAATGCCCTACTGAGTTCCCGCCTGCTAAGTCTGTGTGTGTGTGTGCTTGCCGGACTGCATGTCTGTCTGAGTGCTGGTTGGCTTGCGTGCATGTGACCGTGCCTGTCTGTGTGCTGGTCGGTATGAGTGTGTGTGTGTGGCCCGCCAGGGCACTTGTTCGTTTGTTGGGCCCTCAGGGCCGGTACTTACCTGTGGCCGTGGCTTTGAAGGGTTGCAGCGGGGAAAAAGCACTCAAGTAGCGGGTAGGCCGGTACCGCACCCGGCAGGGGGGTAAATATGCAGGTACCGGAGGCCAAGAAGAAGAAGACAAAAGTGGCATTTTTAGAGGCCGGTAGTGTAGGCTAGGTCTAGCGGGTACCAGTCTGCGTCTAGGGCCTGTAGGGGCAATATCAGAGTCTGCAATGATGTTTCCCTCCAAAAGAGGAGGAGGTACTATTTGCTTGGGAAGGCGAGCGGCCTGTGCCCAAGAGGCAAAGCAGGCCGCTATATCTTCAGGCCGGGCGGAAGACCCGGCCTCTTTTTCGGTGTGCAAGTTTGGCGACACACTGGTGGAGCGCTGGCTGGAGCAGCGCTGCTGGGGAGGAAGGAGAAGGACATGAGGGAGGAAGAAGGAGGAAGGAGGAAGGAAGGGGGGAGGAATGTGGAGGAGCGCCAGGGGTACTTACCTGGCTATGGTGGCAGCCATCTTCATCACCTTGGTGGGCGCTGCAGCACGGAGTCCCCAACTGGGGAGAGCTACACCAGGAAGCTTCAAGGCAGGGTTGGGCATGGCGGCCTGAGCTAGAGCAGCCATAGCTGCTTTGGGTTGTCCTTTGGACGTCTGGGCAAGGCCTAGTAGTCCGCCATAGCCTCGGCCTATGAGAGTGAAGAGAGAAGGGAGGCGGCCATGGCTATGGTGGACCTCAAGTGATACCTGCAGTAGAAGAGGAACTCGGACATTGATTCTTGACCAGTCATTCAACATTGTATTATTATTTCTTGTATGAATAAGAGAAGGGGGAGATAAGGAGGAGGAGATTGTTGGGCAAAGAAGAAGAGCCTTGTCACTGTCTTTGCTGGTGTACATCTTCTTCTTCCTCTTTCTTACTTCTTCTTCTTCTTCTAATCCTCTCTCTCCTCTCAAGTTCATTCATTTCTTTCTGCAATTGGATGGCATTGTACTTTCCGGTGGATGTGTATCTCGAAATTGGCCAGGGTCATAACACAAATAGCAATTCATCAGTGGTGCGGTAGTCTGATTCGGACTCTGGGGACTCCTTAACTCTCTTGAGGAGGTCACTATAGATAGGTTTTCATCTCTCCTACTCAGAGCGTCTGCTACTACATTGTACTTCCCTTTAACTAGCTTAAGTTCGAAGTCATACTGATCTAACTCAGTGGCCCACCTAGTAAGCTTAGGTGTCATCTTGGCCTGCGTCTTTAACCACCTTAGTGTCTCGTGGTCTGAATAGACTTTGCAGTGCCTCCCAAGCAAGTAATGTTTCCAGTGCTCTAGTGCTTGCTTGAGAGCGTAGAGTTCCCTCTCGTAGGTAGATGTCGCTACCT